CCCTCCCACTCCACAAATCGAGTGACAGAGGCCCTAAGAAAGCCCAGAACGGTGGAGACACCGAACCGGCCATCGAGGCCAGGACGGCCACGCACCCGCTGGCCCGGCAGGTGCCCTCCGGGGACGTGGGGGCCACCGGCGCCTGAGGATGCGGCCTCCTCCCCGCTCCCTCCTACCCCCGGGCTCCCGCAAGAGATGTCACCACCAAGGGGACCCTCCGCAGAGGAAGGGGCAGACCAGGCGCGTTAGCAGCAGGGGTCGCCCTGGAGGCCACCCCCCTCCAGGCCCGGCCACCTCCAAGGCCACGGCGGAGGCGGCGGCGGCGGCGGGTCCAGCCCGAGGTCCGCACAGCCAAAGGATACGACGGCCTCGGCCGGGGGGCCACCGAGGTGTCCCAGCACGGTCCGCAAGCGGGTGGCAGCGCGCGACTGGTTCATGGCGGTGGCGGTGGCGGTGACGAGGAGACCGGTGGGCCCGGCCTCTGTTCGGATTTAACTGTGCGGGCGGCACCGCCTCCAGCCCGGAGGGCCACCGGGCCAAGATCCAGACGCGGGCGGGAGGGACCCCGGGCAGCGCCGCCCCCGAGCCAGGTGCGCAGAGACGCCCCTTGCCTCCAGCAGTCGGCGCGCTGCGCCACCGGACCGGGCTGACGTCTCCCTCCCTCAACCTGTTTCTAACAGTCACTGGGATCCTCCCTGCGGCACCTGGGGTTGGGGGTTCCGTGAGCTGTCAGAGGTCACACAGTGACAAGTGGCCGAGCGGAGACCTGACCCACAGCCCTAACTTCATAGCTTCTGTTTCCTCCCCGTCTAAGCCTGTTCCTTCCACTGACACAAATGAAAAAAAAAAAACAAAACAACAAAAAACCAAAACCAAAAACACAAAGATTCATCCCTAAAAGTCAGATATGCTGTTCAAAAGAAACGTTTCGTTTAGTGGGAATCTGGCCCAAAATGTCAGAAACAGTTTGGCTGGTCATTACCAAAAAAAAAAAAGTGAATGAAATAAATGACCCCCAAAAAGTCTGATTCACACGGTCTAATACAGTTTTACAGTCCTTACAGAACTAGAAATTCATCTTTTCTAAGAGCTCTTTCCCTTTCCGTATCTGCGTTGGTTTTTTGCATAGCATCTCATTGTTTTTTCCTCTCATTTTCTCCATGTGCTTTTAGCTTAAAGAGTTACTTTCAGAATGTCTGTTTCACGTCGTTATTACTTTTTAAATGATGT